TAAGCTTTTTGGCCAAGTTTCTAACCTACAAACACATCTAAAGTCAAAACCACATCTATGAAGCTTCTAGAAAGCTTCTCTATAAGACTTTTTGAAATTATTCTATATTTACCTACTTCTACTTAATCATATAAGTAACTATTGAGGTAAATGTATATGTCCATGACACATATGCGTAAAAAAAGCAATGAAAGTTTAGTACCTAAGATTGGAGAGATCATTTTTTTGACTACATATTTCACATATTTTTTAATGAATTCAAAGCTAAAATAAAGAAGATATAAGAAGTTGAAGTTAGCACTTGGAATCTAAGGGCAATAAGTGACTCGATTTATTAATAGTTGTATTTTGAGCTATACCTTGAGCAATTTCATAAGATTTTGACTAAAAATTTCTATGAATATATTTTATTATATAACTAAATTTTATATACAAATTTTGTGGCATTTAGATTTTGGATTTTTGAAATATGAAGTAAATAGTACTCAAGTGCTTATAATTTAGAATTTAAAGAATTTATTAAGATTTTTATGATGTCAAATGATCTGTAGTAGATTTATAGTTTATTTTTTTTTTGTAATAAAGCTCAAAGTTGAGATCTAAATTATTTAAAAATTATTTAAAAATTTAAATAGTTGGATGAAGAGATATAAGTTTCTAAAATTTTAAAGAAATGAAAAATCTTTTGTAGGTGAAAAATGTTTTAAAAGGATTTTGCTACAATTTGAGTATTTTATAAAAAATAAAGAAATTTTTGGAAGCCAAGACTTTATATACATATTAAAAATGCAGATATGGAGATATTAAAAAATATGATATAAAGATGGATTTTTGTAAAGAGATTATGGATTTAGTTTGAGCTTGTTGAAAATCAAGCTTACTACCAAATGATTTATTTATGACTTGATATAGCAAAGGATGTTAAGATATTTTTAGATGCTTTAGAAAGCCTTATGTATAAATTTTTTTAAATATAAAAGGATTTTATTAGTAGAATATTTTTTGATATTATTATATTTATTTGGCTTCTATAATAAGAATACATCACTTATTAGAACTTGTTCAATAAATTAAAGCTAAACTCTCTACAACTAAATAACTCGTGTATTCTTTGATAAAAAAAATCACGCCATCTATCAATAGATATGATATTAGTGAAAGCACATGAAATCCAACAATAAATCTTACAAATGCAAAAAAGAAGGTTGAAGCTTTTGATTAACGATATCTATCAAGACCAAGATAAAGAATAGCAAATCTTTGTTATAAAAAAAAGAAGATTCAAAAAAGATAGCATTCTATTTTCTACTCTTGTTTGTAATATTTATATATTTAGAACGTTAAAGAAAAAGAGAATCAACAACTAGTAGATTCAACTCAAGAGCTATCACTTGTTGATTTACCAAACAAGATATTACAATTGTCACATTTTTTAAAATAACGTAAATGAAATGAAGATCTTCAAAAATGACATTTTTTTTCTTCAAATAGATGGCAAGATACATTGTATTTGGTATCACGGCTTTGGAAGAGATTCTTTATGTTTGGTGATTTTATTAGAGGTAGAAACAATTTCTAATAGCGTTCCAAATGTTTTATTTGAAGGGAATTACAAAGACCTTAACAACAATCAAACAATAGGGTAGTCTTTTTGTTCTAATATAGGACACTATTGATGGCTAAGAGGACCTATCAACCATCTTCAAAGTTAGCAAAGATTAGAATATGCGGCAAATATAATTTGTCATATTTCTTCAACATATGATAATTGCTCCTTACGGAACTTGTTCCCAAAAGAGATGTAATATCATGGATATATATATTTATTTAAATATTTATCTATATGATTAAGAAGAAATAGGCAAAAGTAGATTTATTTCATAATATTTTCTATAAAAGCTTTTTAGAAGCTTCATAAATGCTGAATTTGCTTTACATGTGTTTGTAATTGATTAGTTTGTAAGAAACCTTATTAAAAAATTAACCATGTATTGATAGCTTACAAAACAAGTTAACTATGTACTGCACATATAAAAAAAACTTGTCTTGGAAGTTAAGATGCATGTTTTACAAAAATTAACATGTTTTAGAAGTCCTATAAGACATCACCACGTTGCTCCTAATTAAAAATATATATAGAAACAAGAGTAAAGCCTTCTTCACTCTTGTTAATGCCTTTTTAGTCCTTAGTCTTGTTTCAAAATTTCCTAGTCTTCTTGACTTTGATAATAGACATTTTGGTTTAATATTATATCATCTTTAAGTAATTTTCTAGTCTTTTTTAATGACACAAGAGTGTATTGAGGTTTTTTTCTTTTAAGATTCATGTCCTTGACACCTAAAAATATTTTGAAAATCAAATCTACATTTGAAAGGCTTCTAAGAAGCTCATTTAGAAGATATTATTTAACATTATCAAATTTGATAAAAATTAATTTTTTATTATTAATTTTTTTCATTAAATTTAAATATTTATTTATTAACTTTAAGATAATCAAAATAATTAAAATTAAAATTAAACATATTTTTTATAAAATTTAAAATATATATTAAAAATATAAAAATATTTTTTTTTCAAATAAAAATGAATTAAAAAATTATATCAAGTAGATAGCATAATAAGATGGCATGGTATAATAGTAGTAGAAGAAATTGTAGTAGCTTTAATAATATTGTATATATTTATATATACAAATATGATTTTTATGTAATTTAATGAAATAATGTTTTTTTATTATATATAAATATAATTATAATTTTTGATAAATACCAATAAAAATATCTCAATTTTAAAAATTACACATTTGACCGAAATTCTTTCTTAATTATAATATCTTTAAATGAACTGTAAAGTAGTTCAAATAGTTTTTAAGAAAACATAAATAACAACTGATATGATGTAATAATTATATAAAAATTAATTTATCTATTATATATATATATATATATATATATATATATATATAATCTTTAAATTTAGTTTAAAGTCTAAGTATTTTGGAATTATAAAACATACAAAGCTATTAATAAAATAACAAAAAGTATTATAAATAAGTCATTTTTAGAATATTTTATTTATCATATTAAATAAAAATTTAAATTATTGAATATCATCAAATTATTACATTATATTATTGTAATTACATATTATTTAAATTAATTTTTTTTGTTAAAAACTTAAAAATAAAAAATATTAATATTATATAGATTATAATAAATAAATAATTAATTATATTAATTAATTTAAAATATATAATTCACAAAACCAAAGTAATGCAAATTTTCTCTAAACTCTTTTAAATTCCTTTTCATGTGTAATAATATTCTTCATGTTTTTTCTATTTTAATCATAATACATATTTAAGAAGAAGAAATAAAATAAGTGTTTATTATATTATTATATTATAAATTTTTAAATAAAAAATTAATAACCTTAATTAGATTCTTTTGGTTTTTTTCTTTTAAACATTTTTATGTTTGAGATTATCAAAAAAAATAATTTATATATTCACAAAGAGATATTTTTATGTTGCTATTGAAATAATTTAAAATTCTAACTATTAATGAATGTTTATATAATAATAAAATTAATAATTATATAATAAAAAAATTAAATATATATATCTATATATATATATATTATAATAGTGCTCCTACTACCACAATTTTTGCTATTATCACTACAATTTGCAAACCACTACATGCCACGATTTTGTTTTGTTATAGCTATTATATTTTTGGTTGTTTTCATTACAACTTATTCTTATTAACTTTTTAATTATATATATATATATATATATATATATATATATATTTAAATTTAAAAAACTAAAGAAATATATCAAGTGAGTGGTGGATTGTGGTGGCATGTGATGAATGGCAAATTGTGATGGCAATAGAAGTATTAAAAATACACACACACACACACACACATATATATATATATATATATATACATATACACACACACATACATAGTAATAAAAAAATATTTAAAATAATAATAAATCTTGTAATTTAAAAAAATAAAAATAACTTTCAAAATTTTTCATTTTTTTATTTTTTTATTTTTTTTCAAATGGCCTCAATCTTACGTTAATAACTTTTTATATTTACAAGGTGAAAAACTTGTGGTCTAAGATTTTAGTATCTTGTCAGCTAAATCATGATAAGAAAATTCTTATCTAAAATTTATAATTCTTTTGTTGACCAATCCAATAAAAAAATCTTTCAAAGAATAATCTCAAGAATAATTGTAAACCAAATAATTAAAAAGAACTTCTCAAGAAAGTTTTTGATAAGACTTTTTGACAAAGTTTTCAAAAGATTTTTTTTAAAGAACTTTTTTAATAAGAATTAAATATAAATTCAGTTATAAGGTATATTTAAGATATTTTTGCATATAGTAAATAATGACATATATAACTTATTTATTGTTTCATTTAATTTTTTTTATTATAGATGTGAATTAAACAAGTAAAATATTTTAGTTATTTGTTTATTTTAATAAAAATCAACTAGTCTTTTATTTTAGTAGTACCTAATCTAATATATAAAAGACATGTTTTTTAAAGCTTTAAGAGTTTTAGTTTTTGTTTTACTCTATAAGTTTTAGATTTTGAAAGGATGTAAAGTTTTAAATTTATATAAAAAATAAATAAATTATATATATATATATATATATATATATATATATGAAAAGAAAAAAGAGATTTTAAATTTTAGTCTTTTATTTTAAATTATTTGTTATATAATTTGATACTAGGATTTGTTTTAGAATAAAAATGTGCACTACTTATTTATGTCAATTGAAATAGCCTTTATTAACTTTAATTTGATTATTTGCTTTACCATACATCCATTAATATGACTAGAATTTTTTAAAATAAAGTTGTATAGTCATTTTGTAAATATAACTATGTATAAAGTGATGTTTTCTAAGGTTACAACAACAACAACCCCCTTCTTTCAGTTTGATTGTGGAAAGCGTGGGTTGAGGTCGTGACCCAGTGGGTAGTGTGCAACGGTGGACGAAGGTGTTTGATTAGGGAAGAGGCGGTGGGTTTCCGTGTAGTCGTGGATGATTGGAACCGGAGGAGGAGGAGGAAAGTGGAGAGTGGAGGGTGGAGGAAAGGTGGGTTGTGATTGACGAGGTGTTTGCGAGGAGTGGATTGATGGTGAGGAGGTAATTGTGGAAGTGGGTTTTTAGACGTTTTTGTGGCGGGGGGTGTGTGGAAGGAGCAGGAGGAGGAGGAAGGTTTGGTGATTGATTCAAAGAGGGGAGAGTGATTGTTGTGTCGGTGGGAGGGAGAGTCTGGAGGTGGAGGAGAAGTGGGTGTGGTGACGATGATTAACGAGCGGAGGGTGATTGAGTTGGAGCAAGGATGGAATTTCATGCAGAAGGGGATTACGAAGCTAAAGAATCTGCTGGAGGGTGTGCCCGAGCAGCAGTTCAGCTCCGAGGAATATATGTTGCTCTATACGTATCCGACGTCAATTGTGATTGTCTTGATGATTTAGGTTTCGGGAATTGGGACCGTGTGAGGATCAGGCTGGGTGGTAGGGTGTGGATGTTTTGATTTTCACGATGATGCCATGCGGTTTCGATCTTTCGGGATGATATGTTTGGATTCCTTAATGATCCGTGTTTAGAACAATTTACAATATGTGCACGCAGAAGCCTCCGCAGGATTACTCTCAGCAACTCTATGATAGGTATAGAGAGTCCTTTGAGGGATACATTAATTCCAAGGTGCGCTTGCTGGCTCCCGTTCATGATTTTCTGGGGTAACTGCTGTGGAAGTCAGAAAATTGCATTTTCCCGTCACAGGCCCCCCAGATGAATTCAGGGGCCATTATCTCGCACTGAGATGATATTTTCACGGATGTGTAGGAAGGCTTATTTTCTGTCGGCATTGTTAGGATGCTCTAATTATATAGCATGATTTCGTAGCAAGGGGCTATCCCAGTAGCATATGAAGTATTTGTGATATACTGATCTTAATGTACTTGGCATCTAGGTGCTACCTGCTCTCAGAGAAAAACATGAGGAGTTCATGCTTAAGGAGCTTGTGAAAAGATGGGATAATCATAAAATAATGGTTCGATGGTTATCCCGGTTCTTCAATTACCTAGATCGGTACTTTATCGCTAGGCGGTCACTTCCTGCATTGAGCGAAGTCGGTCTGATGCGTTTTCGCGATCTGGTATGCTCCTCTGAATCATTGACTATCCGGTTCTACACTTGGAGAGGTTGTGGAAGTCGATGTTTCATGGTGGTGTGGACAACTTAATGCACTTGTCACGCGTCCAGCAGATCTCTTCTTGCGCATGCTATGATTTATAGCTCTTTTTGGCCGCTGCTTTCATGAATTTCGTCGAAGCTCCAGTTTTAAAGTACGACTCTCGATTATGCAGGTCTACGAAGAGATGAAGGTCAATGTGAAAGATGCAGTAATTGCTCTTATTGACCGGGAGCGCGAAGGCGAGCAAATAGATCGGGCACTTCTTAAGAATGTCCTTGGTATCTTCGTTGAAATTGGAATGGGTAACATGGATGCTTACGAGACTGACTTTGAGGCATTTATGCTTGAAGATACAGCTTCGTATTACAAGAGAAAGGCCTCGTCTTGGATTCAAGAGGATTCATGTCCTGATTACATGCTTAAGGCCGAGGAATGCTTGAAGAGGGAGAGAGAAAGGGTTGGGCACTACTTGCATGCTAGCAGTGAGCAAAAACTGCTTGAGAAAGTTCAACATGAACTCCTGACTCAATATGAGACACAGTTACTTGAGAAAGAGCATTCAGGCTGTCATACTCTGTTGAGAGATGACAAGGTCGATGATCTATCAAGAATGTATCGGTTATTCTGCAGAATCCTTAAGGGTTTGGATCCCGTGGCAGCTATTTTTAGAGAGGTATTGGGAATCTGAACCCTGGTAACAAGTGTCGAGAATTAAATGGAAACTCCACGTTTTATGACTACTGAAGTAAATAAACAAATAAACAAACAAACAAACAAGAGAGAAACGAGAGGGAAAAGAAAAGAAAAGAAAGCGATAAAAATTATTATTATTATTATTATTATTATTATTATTATTATTATTATTATTCTTATTAAAAAAATTAATTTATATTTTAACTTGAATCTCCTCTTTATTTCTTTATTTCTTATTATTCTAATTTTTGAATTAATTTTTTTGTATAGCTTCAAGTGGCTTGTTGTAGTGTAATTTGTGGAGAAAGTTTAATGCTTGGATACTCCAAAGTATGAACTTCGGGTTTCAGAGCTCTTTTGTTTTATGTGGGGTAGAAGTAATCGTCCTGTACATGTTTATCTGCAGCATGTTACAGGCGAAGGCACGGCCTTGGTAAAACAGGCAGAAGATGCAGCCAGTAACAAAAAGGTTCGTTTTGTGGCTTTCTGCTTCCTGAATATCATGCGATGTATAATGCAGTGTTTTTTCATAGAGTGTAATGTTTGTGCGATCTTCAATCATTCTTCATACCGACTGGTTTGATGAATTTATGCAGGCTGAGAGAAAAGATATCGTTGGAGTGCAAGAGCAGGTAATAATCAAAGGGCTGGTAAAATGGCCACTTTATGTGACATTTTTCTGGGTTTGTGCTCGTAGAAGTTAACAAGTGTACTTGATCTTGAAAGTATGTCGATATATGTGGATAGATTGGACTACTACTCATAGAACCGGAGGTTCTTGCATTAATATCTTTGAGTTACACTTGTATAATCGCCAAATTGTAGAGCTCGACGTGTCCTTCGATTGAGGAAGTCTTGAATATTCTTGTGCATCTTCGGTTGCTCCTTACAGGCCTTTGTGCGGAAGGTGATTGAACTACATGACAAATATCTGCAGTATGTCAGCGACTGCTTTTTAAATCATTCTCTTTTTCACAAGGTGAGAAAGCTGTTTACTGCTCTTGATTTTGATCGCACGTTCTGTTCTCAACGAGAGAATATCATGCTGAAGCTCCCTTGTTTTCTGCTCGGATGCAGTCTGGAAGGATTTTTGTGTTGAAACTTAATGCTTGGAGTGTTCTTTGTATTGAAGCTTAGTGAATAATATGGAATGCAGGCATTGAAAGAAGCTTTTGAAGTCTTCTGCAATAAGGGTGTTGCTGGGAGTACAAGTGCAGAACTCCTGGCCACATTTTGTGATAATTTATTGAAAAAGGGAGGAAGCGAAAAGTTAAGTGATGAGGCGATCGAGGATACACTTGAAAAGGTAGTGGTTGCTCATATCTGTATCTCTATCTGTAAGATCGAGTTTCCATTTTCTTAACGTGTCATTGTAAAACAGAGTATGCTTTCAATACATCTGTGCAGCAATTTTCATTGGTTAAAAGAGATTTATGTCTCTCTCAACTCCTGATCAAGTTTGATGAGAGTGCAGGTGGTGAAGCTCCTTGCATACATCAGTGATAAGGACTTATTTGCAGAGTTCTACAGGTAATTTTGCTTTATACTGTTTCTTCTGGTACTGCGACTGTTCATTATTCATCCACCAATCGTCAATGAGTGTGGTTTTAGTTAAGTTGAAGTTGGCATATTGTTTTGATATATTCTATCTATGACGTTCATTGTCTAATTCTGTGTTTTATGAACTGATGTAGGAAAAAGCTGGCTCGAAGGCTGCTCTTTGACAAAAGTGCCAATGACGATCATGAGCGCAGTATCTTGACCAAGTTGAAACAGCAGTGTGGAGGACAATTCACCTCTAAGATGGAGGGGATGGTAACTTCTTTGATGCTCATTCTTTTCTTGCTTGAGGTGGTTAACTATTTTTTCCGTTGATAAGGTTCACCTATCTTTGTTTGATTGTATTAACTAGCGCTCAAATTCTGAAATAGAATGGCACCAACCGGTAATGATTTGATTTCGGCAATGTGAACATTTACAGGTAACAGATCTGACACTTGCACGCGAAAACCAAATAAACTTTGAGGAGTATTTGTCGGATAACACCCAGTCAAATCCAGGCATCGATCTGACAGTAACAGTTCTTACAACTGGCTTTTGGCCCAGTTACAAGTCTTCAGATCTGGCTTTACCAGCAGAGATGGTCAGTGATAATCTTATCCGCACTGGTTTTTTTTGTGTTCACAATATATTTTTGTTATCCGTAAGTTTCTGTAGTCCTGTTTCTACTTTGCTCGTATGAATGTCTTGCCTTTTCTAACTTCAAAAAAAAAAAAAAAAAAAAAAAAAAAAATCATGCTCGAAATACAGGTAAAATGTGTGGAAGTGTTTAAGGAGTTCTATCAAACGAAAACAAAGCATCGGAAGCTGACTTGGATATATTCCTTGGGAACTTGTAACATAACAGGAAAGTTTGACGCTAAGCCTATTGAGCTTATTGTCACAACATATCAGGTACTTTCACCAAGCGTTCAGAGACATGTTTTTTAAGTATTACAATTTTTCATTTTTGGGGGTTCTCGGAGTGCTCGTGTGCCTGATAAACTCAGCATTTGCTGATGTATTGGTTGTAACTTCATTTTCTGTTTCTAGGAGGGCCCTGTCAATCTTTTCACACTTATTTCAAATCCACATCCATTTTAGCTCTAAAAGAGACTCTTGTGATTGCAGGCTGCAGTGCTGTTGCTTTTCAATGCTGCGGATAGGCTGAGCTATAATGATATTAAGAGTCAGCTTAACCTTACAGACGAGGATATTGTTAGATTGTTACACTCATTGTCATGTGCGAAGTACAAGATTCTTAATAAAGACCCAATCACCAAAACTGTTGGACAAAGTGATATCTTTGAGTTTAATACCAAGTTCACTGACAAGATGAGGCGGATTAAGGTATGCCTGATTGCGATCATTACCATTGAAATATGAATCTGATTTTCTAGTGAAATGAGGCATTTGTGAGCGACTTGGTCACGAGTTTTATCTTCATGAGTGGTCTCAACCTTCACTTGTGCACTGAATCTTTTGCATACAACGACAGATTCCTCTGCCGCCAATGGATGAAAAGAAGAAGGTGATCGAGGACGTGGACAAGGACAGGCGATATGCTATTGATGCTTCTATCGTCCGGATCATGAAAAGTCGTAAAATGTTGCCTCATCAGCAACTGGTATTGGAATGTGTTGAACAGCTTGGGCGGATGTTCAAGGTATACCTCCTTCAATGTCTGCTCACACCATGTGTTCGAATTTTTTTGTTAATCGTGGTGTGGGTCTTCCAAGTTCTTACTATAAGTCAAATAAGTCGTCAGCGGGGTCCAGGCATCAAATTTTGTCTAAATGAACATTTTGTGTCTGACGTGGTTGCTGTGGGTGTTTTTGTTTTACAGCCCGACTTCAAGGTGATCAAGAAGCGAGTTGAGGACCTTATTGCTCGTGAATATTTAGAGCGAGACAAGGACAATCCCAACGTGTTCAAATATGTGGCGTAATGAGTCAGGAAACCTCAGTTTGAAGCTCACTCGAAGGAGACAACTCTTGTTGGAAGGATACCGCTGAACTAGGATTTGCACATAAATACATTGCTCATGGAATCTTGTCGACATGCTTTATTAAGATCCAGTTCGTACTTGTTTAAATTTTGTGGGATTGTCTGGGTTCGAACCTAGCCAGTTATATAGATTTACGAGCATGTCTCTGAATTGGTAAACCTTACAATAGAGCTTGTGTAAGAGTTTGTATTGCCATTGTCTTTTTTTTTTTTTTTTTTTTTTTTTTTTATAAAAAAATAGATGTAGAATGGGTAACTGGTACCTGCCATAATTAGTGGTAGTTAGTACAGTGGTTAGACTAATTGATGGGTAGGACATAAATGAAATTCATATAGCACAACACATGTATCTACACATTTTGCTTAACAGCAAACGCCAACTTTGCAGTCTCTTGCAACTTTAAGTCATGTCGACAGTGCTTTCCTAATTCATCCCAGAGAGCTTGATATATGCAAGACATGTTTACGTTTTCATTATTTGTCTCATGCGAAATCCAAGTAATCATTTTCTTAATAATTTCCTATTATGCAGAGGAGGAAAAAATAAAAAGAAAAGTTATATATATATATATATATATATATATATATTTGTATATACATACAATTTTAAATATATATTTTTTTCTTACCAATGAATTTAAATATTGGTGTATTATGTTGAAGAGTAGACTCAAATACTCTATTATGAGTTGTATTAGCTTTTTCAAAATTTGAATGCATAAAGAACAAATATTAAAATGTAGATCATGGGCATGAATTAATATGTGTATTTAAATAGTTCGAAATATATATATATATATATATATATATATATATATGTTTTAACTTGATAAGAGTTTTCAAATAGTTTTACAAAAGACCATTTTCATTACAAAATATTTTGTTATTTTTGTTATTAATTTGTTGTATATATATATATATATAATAACCCTAGTTGAATTTTCAAATAGTTTTACAAAAGACCATTTTCATTGCAAAATATTTTGTTATTTTTGTTATTAATTTGGTGTATATATATATATATATATATATATATATCTAATAACCCTAGTTGAAATAAATAAATGTAAATTTTTGACACAAATATACAGTAAAATAATTCAAATATACATTTTCTAGGTTCTAATTGTCTTCAAAATATTCTATGTTTAATTATTTAATAAATCTTCTACGTACTTCTTTAGATATTTTGGCTTGCTCACTTAGTACAAAAGTTAGCTTGTATGTCTATTATGACATACAATATAGATCCTATTAATATTTCTATGTACAGATTAAGTGCATATTATAAATACATTATATAGTTATGGTGTCTTTAACTTGCATCAGCATTATAGGCCTTTGCTTCAAGAGTAATATTTTAAAGCAAGTTATTGATTTATTACAATATATGCTATAGTACTAAACTATGATACAAACAATATCACCAACAACCACATAAACATATTTTATTTATACTGCTAAAATGTAAATGGAATAATGTTAAAAAAAGAAACCTTTCACTTGCAAACAAAAAAAAAAAAAAAGGGAATAAAAAAGGAAAATATCACAAATCATTGTAAACTTGTTAAAAAAACATTATTACAACCACATAAATTGAATCATTTGGTTTCTGATGTTTAAAAAAAGTTATATGTACAAAACTACATAATTTCATAATTTTCTAGGAGAATATTTTTTAATAGTTTATTTTACCAAAAACATTTAAAGATTAATTGCAGTTTATTTTGAAAATCTTATAATTATAGTTTTGATAAGATATTGCAATATAACATTTTATCAATCAAATTTTTGTTAATCCAAGATATATATATATATATATATATATATATATATATATAGAATACATGTAACTATATATATAAAAAATATATATATTCTAACTATATATATATTTTTATATACTATTTGTATTCTATATTTATATCTTATAAGATTTATATGTTTACATGATATTATTAAGATATCAATTTAAATTATACACCATAAATATTATTTTTAGAACAGTATAGGATTAAACTATTGTTAATGAACATAGGTTTCTTTATTGTGTTTTATTTTTGTAGTAAGGATTTTTGATGAATCAAGGAAGTCTTCCCCTCTTCGGCTTTTGCTCTCTTCCAAAGTTCATTAAGCATCTTTGCTGCAACATGTAGCAGTCATAAGGTATGCTTGCTTTCTTCATATCCCTTCATGTGCTCACATTAAGACCAAAAGCTTGTAGCTTATGAGAGTCGCTTAATGGTACATTTTTAGTCATTTCATGTACAGCATTATGTTTATTCTTTTGTTTAAATCATTTCTTTTCATTACCAGATAAGGCTTTATATTCTTCTCTTTTCTCACATTAGCAACCAATACTCATAAAACTGCACCGCCCATAAATATGACACATATGGAGTAGTAGTGGATACATCTTTAGAAGATTTAAATAATTACCACTTTCAAAAGTTCTCAATTGACAATTTAGGATTCCAATAGGCTCTAAAACTGGAATCCTCCACAATCTGGTTTCTATGAGCCGCTACACTTTTCTTTTTTTTTCGTTTTTCTCAACATGTTTCGTGGTATGCCTGCTCTTTTGTAACAGCTACAACACCGTGTGCAGGAGGTAAAGCGGGAAGCACTTTCAGAGATGAAGGGCACCACCACAAGGCAAAGAACTGAAATTTCACTGTATTACACTAACTCGGTAGCAATGGGTCTAAAAGACGGCGTCTTGTTGCACATTGGGAATTAGAGAGCTGTGCTAGCCACAAGTGCAATTTTGAAAGAGAATTGTTCCACTAGATGATTCAATGGAGAAGTTTCAAATCATCAGTGATTGTGCGGCACTTTCTACCTCCAGATTACACTGATGATGTTGTGAAACGCCACAAGTCAACAGCGATGTCTTTCTCCTTCTGCTTGTGGAACTTGTACGACGCTTGTAAATCGTATCTTAGCTGCGACAGTCGTAAATTCACGAATAAGTGAAGCACACAAGCAGGCCCAACACATCAACGCATAAGTTATAGAGAGGATGCAACGCTCGACTACGCTTTTTTACTGAAAAGTCTAAATGTAAAAGTAGTGAAAACTGACATTGAAATTGCAGGAAGTACTTCAGAGAATGCTGTACAGAAAAAGTTTGACCTGTGGGGTTTAAACATACCTCGCACATGACATCAGCAGTTTTGGCTCCAAAATCACGCACGGCTGCTCGCTTGATGTGCTGGCAAAAAGATTCACGCTGCTTATGAAAATTGTGTTTTACCATTGGTAGAGAAGGATTTGGTTCACGCTAATCTTCCTGAATTACCTTTTCATGTTTCACCATGAAATAGCCATGTGAAAAAAATTACATGATGACTATTGAATCCAAAGTTTGAAAAACACCAAACGAAAAAAGAAAAAAAGAAGACGATTCCAATTCAACATGATACTGTCTGACACATCAGAAACTCTTGAAATTTAAAGCTGTTAGCGTTATCCATATAAATGTAATGACATGAATTGACAAAGGATACCGTTCTTGTAGAAGACTTGTGCAAAGAGTAGACAGCTGTTCCAGCAACCTGCACCAGTCATGAAGGCCATGTCAACTTGCCAGTCATATTCGTCCTTCTTCACTCTAACCTCAGACAACATCGGACTGGACAGATTCAGAAACATGCTGCCTCTTACTGTGGAGGTTGGTATGAAACTACCTTAAGGGCAGCCGCCAAAAACTCCATGTCAGCTCCTTTGCGTCGCGTTCCGAAAGGAGGGTTCATGACGACAGTGTCCACGACTAGACCTACATAAAGAAGATCACGTGATTTAGGACCAAATCATAAAATTTTAAAGAGGAGAGGAATTCTACACAAAGCAGAGAGAGTAAAAGAAAACTTCAGTAAATACCTTGTAAAGGTAACTCAGAAAGATTGGCTTGAATCAAATCCATCTCTACCTGTTCACATTTTACCGAGGTTAGGTTTAGTGAAGCAACCGTGTTGCGATATTGTCACAAGACAAGATAAAGTTAATTTTGAGCGAAAAGAAAACAAATATAGCACTGAAATTGACAGACCTAAACTGAAGACATTTCTGCATCCGATGAATGTTCAAGAAACTGCTGACAAATCAACACAATCACGGATCAAAAAAGGAACCTGATAGAAAAATTACCTCAAGTTCTTCGCAGTTTTCCTGGGCGAGAGCCAAAGCGTCTTCATCCACATCCACCCCTACAACCTGTCTGCATAGAAGGGCAATATCCGTCACATGCTGGAAATTCATGTTGACATTCCCTGACAAGCTGCATAATACAGGGGGTAGAGAGGAGAATAAGATGACTTACGCTGCATCTAACAAAGCAGCAGCGATACCGAGTGTGCCACACCCACAGCCAAGATCCGCCACAACTTTTCCCGTTATATCACCAAAGCTGTTTTCTGCCTACACAAGCACAGGCAATTGTAATATGCCTCCGAACAGAGCAACCTAGGAAGCTCAAGAATATTTGTGAAACAGTCCAACACTCGATGACTTCGAATTATCTATTTCATTTACGAATTTTCTCTTCTTCACCAAACCACTCAAACCCCATCCTCGGGAAATTGATAAACCCTAAATTATACTTAACAGCGGAGGAGAAACTGTCTTTACCATATACAGCATTCGCGACGCAATATGCGGCCCTGTAGGATACTGTTCCAATTCTACCTGCGCAATCAATCACCCCATCAGCACCTCTCTCTCTCTCTCTCTCTCTCTCTCACAATCCGTTAATTGTCACGTAATTCATGCATACCATAACTGAAGAACAATTATCAATCTAAGTAAAACTAACTATCTCAGCCAATGGCAACTAGGGGACGGAAACCTCACCTTCGGAGACGGGAACTGGGTCACACTGCCCAAGTAGGACTCCAGCAATTTCAGCTTCATCGCTTCCACCGGATCACTGTCAACACAATACAACCCTCACAAAGAAAATCATCAAGTTCACCCGAACACGAGGGTTGCATCAGAGGAAAGGATGTTCTAATATCCGGGAATACCAGGGTGTGGAGGGTATGAGAGACCACGGACAATGAAGATATTCACATTCTAATGAAAAGTTACGATCAGTTTGAGATCTTCAGCTTTTCAGAATGCGTGCTATAATCTGTCTGTCGGAAAGGACAGCCTTGTCGCTGAGTGAGGAGCGGGCGAATGACCTCCTAGCTGTTCTGGTCTTGGTTTCGCTCTTTGTCAGGTTCTGGTGGGATGAATGGGTTTCGAATGTGCTCAACTGTGGATGCTGTGTATTCCGAGGTGTGAGTGAGTGAGTGAGTGATGGATGGGATTCAACTGTCTGCCGGATGATGACTATGAGAGATGGGGTTTGTGCGACAGCAGGTTTTCCACACATCGGCATTGACTGTGTTGAGAGTTCGCTTCCAATTGCTAGCTCCTCTCTTTGCGAGAGTAGTTGTGTCTTGTTTACGTTCCTGTGTTCGAAATCAGGAAGGATTTTCTTGACTTTTCTATCTACATCTTTTACAACTTACCGTATATCCCGAATTGATCGGTTTGGTGCATGTTACGGTCTAGTATATTCTGAGGCTCTTGCAGAACTGATAGCTCGCAATGAGCGGAGCGCATTTATGGGTTGTGAAGCCAGTGCTACTTTATTCGTTAGCTACCGTTTGATATAGTCAATTGGGAATAGAAGTACGTGGTTCAACAGACGGGAATCCGAAAACTCGTTGGCAGGCATCTAGAAAGCTAGATGTCATTTTATCACATCATTCCCTAAACTAGAGCCAGTACAAGTGAGGTTCTCGTAACGCCATCCTTTTAAAGGAATCCGGCGTAATTTGTTAGAGGTTTGCAAATAGTAAGAGAGGATCTTTTTTTCAAATTTCCTAATGGTCTCCGGGAGCTCGGAAGTCCGGGGTGTGGATATCTTTGCAGTCCCTTGCATTTGTATCATTAAACCACCATGATCTGGACTATCCCTCAATGTGAAGCGCCGGGATGTTTGTGACAGCGGTGAATAAAGCGATGCTGAGCTTAATTGGTGTGTGTCCGGAGCTCGAAATCGAGTGCAAGAGTTCTATAGAAGTTCTATGGAAAGCAAGAGACTATATTTTGCGGGGAGGGCCAGACGAGGGCCAAGTGGAACGTTGTTGCAAGGGTTTTCTTTAACTTTTGAAGAATAGTGAAAGGGAATGCACTAGCTTGTGATGTGTTCTACGTGGTCTATTTGGGTAGTGAGAGAGATCATGATAGTACTGCTGGTTAAGTATTAAAACTAGGAGCTTCGAACATCCCTTTGATACAATGTCATGAGGTAGACCTGCTTTAATTTTTCTTTAGTCCATTCGCAATTTTTCTTACTTAAAAAGTTGCATCTCTAACTTGCGAAATGTCGTCCACAAGTTGTGAGATCTGGAAATAACTGTTTCATGATGCGCAGGCACTGGAAGGACTGGATATCTCAATATAATTAAGCAGAGTGGTGCAGTGCTTACCTGTTTTTGTACGCTAAGTTAACAGATTTTCAAAGGCCGAAGCTGTGGGATCAATATGACATGCATGCACAAGGAAGACTTGATCGTCTCCCAAGCTTATCTCAAGTTTGATCTTCATCGATCCACATGTTTAGGTTGAAACATGGGGTGGTTTATGAGTTTCAAATATCACAACTTCAGATTTTCTGGTGTCAGACTTTTGGGAGGTCTGAGCGGTTGAGTTTATTCAGGATGTTCCAAGAAGCTATTGGTTTTTTGAGATGCGTGTGTGTCTCTCCTAGTTTGTAACCTTCTGTTACCCGCGGCTAAGATTCAGCATGGCTGTGCAGTGCCCTCTCTATTCTATTGTCCCAAGGGGAGTTAGGAGGTGGAGGAAAGCCCGACAGACACAACTTGTGAAAGAGCCCTTTCCTGTGCCCTGTCCTGATTGGATAACATAGCTTGGCGTGGTTACGAGAAATATGATAATATTGTGGGAGCAGGGTCAGGCGTAAAAGGTGGAGTATTGAAGAGCCGCTGACATTTGAATGTTGTCAACATCTGTCGCAGCTAGGGGAGGAATTGTGAATTTGACTTTTCCAGTATGTTGTGAAATGCTTTACATGCAGATCATTCGAAAGTCATGATGCTCTCTTCCTGCTTTTTGGCTTGTAAGACATTGGGCCCTTTTAAGCTAGGGTTCCACATGTCGAGTCACTGGTAGATCCGTTGCTAATTAACTCCATATTTTGAATTTCGTTGCCGAGGAGTAGTTTTCTTGCTTAAGAAAAAGAGAATTTGAGGAATTTATTGTTGAAGTTCTTGATTCTGATTGTATTGTTGTATCGCATCTGTATCTGAATTGCACCATCAGCAGTTTGGGAGTCACCCGGTACATATCGTTTTCAGTCGTCTGGTTTGGCTTGGTTTTGCCCTGCGTGAACTGCAATATAGAATTTCTTTTTAGTTGAAGTTGAAGTGACTAAAATTACCCTGACTTAAATTTTCTAAGATACTCAATAATCTTGTATGGTACTCTGAATTACGAGCATGGCTTGGTGTTCATGCGTGAATGATGATGTACAAGAATTAATGATGAGGTTTCTGAATTTTGGGCTTCGTTATGCAATCTAGTGTTTGTTATACATGAACTGCAATTGTGCAAGAGTTACTGGCGTTATAAGCAGAGCAACAAACTATCAGATTCGTTGGTTGCATTGTTACCCGCTATCAGTGTTTATCATTGCTGTCAAGCAAGTAATTAGTCATGCTGATGAGACATTTAAATTGTGGATCAGATTAAATATTGGTGATTAAGTTTTAATACTACAGAACAAAAGTACAGCAACGATATTTGGGCTGTCTACACAAGTGAAAAGCATCCAAATTCTACATGATCTGCTGCAAACCTTCAAGAAATTATAAACCTCAAAAATCTACCAGAATAAATATCCTTAGTATGGAAAGCCTGTTTGCACTTGCGAAGTGAAGTGCCAACCCTGGACTGTTCGTCTGTCACAAGGGCAATGCTGAGCAACCATCCTGTCTAACTCGCTTACACAGCATGTAGACTACAATATGCTGCACTGCCGTTAAGCCTCTCTGAAAATGTGAAACCGATGTCTAGGTGGAAGCTCTAGAAGATGTAAACGTTAAGATCCTATACGTTCTGAAAAACTTCATCTGGAACATAGAATGTTACATCCACATGTACATGACAAGAGGGCTGGCGACAAGTTCAACAATTCTAAACACCAATCTTCGGTTTTGAATATCATGTATTCGAGGTTGAATTGGACTCTACCCTGTGTTCTGAATACCTGCGGCAATGCCCTTCATAGTAATAATCATGGTGTCTTCCAAGCCAGGCGCAAACTCAGTCGTTGGGTTTAGCGTCACTGGATCCGAGGCAGGCTTTGTAGACTTGGGAGACTCAGACTGTGTTCCTTGCCCGGTCTGCTCTCGCATCTTCTTGAGCGTAAAAGCTTGTTGCACATTGAGAGCAGTGATGACGGGTTCTCTAAGTCGAAGACGCTGCTTCAGAGTAGGATTTCCTTGAAGGATATCCGTATGTCTCGCAATCTGCAGTGTCCAGAAAACGTAAACTGTTGAGCTTACAAGGTGGATCTACATTCTAGTAACCATTTTTTACAGAAGGATTGAAGGTGGCTGGAAAGAGGAGAAAAATACACCTTCAGAAGATGCGACTTGGTCTCGTTGTACTTCTCCCGCAACTCTTCACCTAAGGGCTTCAACTCTTCAGGTACAAGCAAATTATCGTACAACTCGGCAATTCGAGGGTCACCTTTGGCGAAAACCATCTCCACTAAGTCGATCGTCACTCGGAAGAAAGGCCATAGATCATACATCCGGGAGAGAGTATCGAAATTCCCCGGCCCGGCTTCCAACGCCTGCTTTAAAGCAGCACCAAGTCCTAGCCACACAGGCAAATGGAAACGTGTTTGTGTCCAAGCGAAGATCCATGGGATTGCTCGCAAGGATTCAATGCCGCCACTGGGTTTGCGTTTCGATGGACGACTGCCGATGTTCATTCGCCCATACTCTAGCTCCGGTGTGGCCTGCGAGATTTCAATTACAATCAAAGCCTTTTTCAGAAAATTCCAGGAATTTTATTCAAAATAACACATTCGATCATCGTGAAATAGCATCACAAGACTCAATCGAAAGACAGATATCTTACTGTTCGAAAATACTCCACAAATCTAGGATTTTTGAAGACGATGGAACGGTACTCGTCGGTAGCAATCACTGCCATGAAGTCCATGAGGTCTCTCCACTCAGGCTCTGGTGCAATGGGAGGATTCATTCCATGTTCAAGCGTAGCAGCAGTGAAACGCTGCAATGTCCTGAAGCACAAGTGTTCCTCCCCGAACGACTGCTCAATAACCTCTCCTTGAATTGTAACTCGCAACGATCCGTTAATGGTGTCTGGAGGCTGAGACAGAATAGCAAGATGTGTCGGACCTCCACCCCTGCCAACGGTGCCTCCACGACCGTGAAACATCGTGAGTCGGACTTCATACTGCTTTGCCACTTTCACGAGATCCTCTTGTGCCTTGAACATTTGCCATGCTGCTGACAAACGACCCGCATCCTTTCCAGAGTCGGAGTAACCTATCATAACCTCTTGCTTACCGTTGATGCGACTGAGGTACCAGTCAATAGAGAAGAGACGTGAAAGCGTGGCCGGGGCTGATTCCAAATCAGCTAGCTTCTCAAACAAAGGCACCACTCGCAGAGGAGTCGGGATATGGGACTCGCGCTGCAAGAGCTCCACTGCCAAGACATCTGATGGAGCAGTTGCCATGGAGATGATGTAGGCGCCAAAGCAATCTTCCGGCAACTCTGCAATGACTTTGAAAGTATCCAGAACATCCTTCACTTCCTCTGTTGTCGGCATATCGGGTCCAAACAAAGGCCTCCTACCGCGAAGCTCAGACAGGAGCCAGTCCTACATCACATAGCTCACGTTTCTCAGGGGGAGCAGGTCAATTGCAGCAACAAAAGTTGCAAACTTGCAAAACTTCTCTCTCCAGAATACAGATTGCTACAAACGGTGGCATTGGAGGGGCACGTCATAGACCTGGCGCTGCTCTTCAGACCAGTCGCGATAAGATCCTATACCAAGATAGTTGGTTATGGTATCCAGCACATCAGTATGGCGATCAGATTCTTGTCGGATATCAAGCTTTACCAAGCTCAATCCGAAGCACGAAACTTGGCGCATGAAATCTAGAAGACTGCCGTCGGCAATTGGCTTGTCTCCAGTTTCACACAATGACCTATGGCACAGCTCCAAAGGCTCAAGAATCTGTGAAAACCAGAGGAATGAATGAATAAATAAATAGAATTCCCTCATTAACCTGCATTCTTGCAAAGAGAAATTGATCATAACACATGCAAGACACACAGATGCAACTAAAATAAGAGGCTTGCAAAAACACCTGAGATTTTTCGGTGAACGTGTCTTCCAGATTGATGTCACTCTTGCCGTTGGCTAGCAACTGACGCATCCGCTCCCGCGTGTTGTACAGCTTGTCACGCATGTTTCCCAACAATACTCGGAAAGGTTCGTTGGGTGGAATGTGTTTCCAGAACTCTGAATTCATCAATCCATCAGTAAGTAATTAGCACTCTAGTGAGTCACGCTATGTAAAAGTGTGCACAAAAATTCAGCACAGAATTAAACCAAATGCACAAAATCAACAAAATCGTCTCTTAACAATACCAAAACAGAGTTTTACCAGTATAATGCTTCGACTCTTTCTTAGTTTGCGCCTCCAGAATCGCCACCCTCTGTTTGAGCTCGTCACTGCAGCGCCACATAGACAGCTGCATCGATAGTAAAGCAGAACCAAATCATCAACATAACAAGTATGTCCATGCTGGAGCTTAGAAGTGGAAGTGGAAGTGAAAGCGGACGAGAAAGAAATTCCAGAGCCTAAGGATTCCATCTAGCTGTTGAATCGCAGCTTAAATACCATACCTCGAACATCAGATCTTCAATTTGAGAGTAGTAAAGATTAGCTGCCATCAATCGAGCCAACAAACACACGTCTCTTGTCACGTCGGGGGTGACACGTGGGTTTCCTGATTCCAGAGTTCCATAAATGAGTAAAACGCGTTCACGTTACTACAGCAAGAAAATCGATAGTGATGGAGAGACAAATGATAAAAGGCTGAAGAGCGAGGTCTGAATGTTACCATCGCGATCACCACCCATCCATGAGGAAAATTGGATAAGAGGTACGTCATGTGGCAAACGCTCCTTCACGCCGATTCCTTTTAAGGCAGTATCGACGCGTCGTAAGAACTTGGGCAATCCGTTCCAAATAGTTTCATGGAAGTAACTCATACCCGCACGCATCTCGTCCTGAGGTGCTGGCTGTGACCGCCGGATCTCGTCAGTGCGAAACGCAGCTTGTATCTGTATAAAAGAACAGTGAAAAAAACTAAAATCATTAATCAGAATAGATATACAGTGAAGGACATTAGCTAAGGGAGACGGAAGCATTCAGGAAAATCGTTTGCCTCATTTGTAGACAAGAACAAACCTCCCTTTGCAGGGCCTCGTCTAGTTCCTGCTTCTCCTCGGCTGTGACATCTTTCTGGTACATCTGTGACAGGCAATCTCGAATCCTGTCGGTGAAAATCCGCTGGATTAATATGAGGCGAAGAAAAATTAGCGAAATTATTCTGCAGGTGCTTGAAGAGATGCAAAGAAGACAAGTGTAGAAAAAAACGAAATTCAAAACAAATATATGAGTTCGATTGGGAACTCTCACCGAGAATGCTTCTGCAGCAGAGATCGACGAACAGATTGGGTTGGATGGGCTGTGAAGACTAGGTCCACAGTTTGTTTCTTCAGGGCCTCAAAAATCTCATCAGGGGATTTATGCAGCTCGTCCTTTAACCGTTGAAACGTCTGGTCCAAATCAGATTCTGTCAATGCACTGTTTTCATCGCCAATGTTTCCCTTCTTGTTGGTCGGACGACGATAGGCAATCTGGATCTCCTCTGCAAGATTTCCGAGGTTGAGCATGTGCGAAAAAGAACTGGCCACCACGATCGAATCAGTCGGGTTTAGATTATTCAGCAAAGACGACAGTTGCTGAAGTTTCTCCTCCTCCCTGCTATGGGAATTGGCAAACGCTCCCGCCAATTCGTAACAATTCATTACCTGTAGTTAGCAAGATACAAATCGTATCAGATGATGTTCCTTGAGGACAACATATTAAATTTGAAACCTGGCAACAATCCAGGCCTGCGCATGCAAACCTTCAGGAATGCATATGTACAGACTCAGAAACTTGTAACACTTACCAGTCTGGCATTTCCTTGCTCTCTTTGAAAAGATTGCAAAACAAAACAAAAAAACAGCTATAGATCATTAACATCCAAGAGTTCAAATCTCTGACAGATATAGTAGTCATTCGTGGCGCAGCAAGATTTGGGAAACTTTACCGTTTCTCTCATGCTTTTGCCGTGCAAACTTTCAAGGATGTCGAGGAACCGGTTTCCTAACTGGGAGCCGTAATCAACGAGCATGTCATCCTCTGATACCTTTTTCGGCACCAGCAGCCTCATCGGGGCATCGATAGACTTAATCTTCTTTAAAAACGCCATCTTTGTGTGTGTGTGTGTGCACGCAAGTTAATATTCAATCCCCACAATACAATATAATGTTCAATCCACGTCTTCCGTCCAACACCTTCTCTCTTCTCAACTTTCGAACTTCCAGGAAATCCACCCTACGTTGCTCGTCCTGCACCCCTACAGATTGTGACTCAATTCTAGAGCCACTGCAACCTTCCTGATAAGACGGTCACCTCGCGCGTCGCTGCTTAAGGGCGCTAAACTCACCACCAAACAAGAGCAAAAACGTGTAATCAATCACCAAGTTCATCAGACTTCAAATTCCAACCCCACAGATCCAACTCGACTCTCTCCAGCTGGCGGAGAATGTTTGCTGTCACGCTCGAGTCCAAGGTCTACTGCTTGTATTTATACGCACTTCGACTGACCAATTGGGGATTGCATGGGACGCACTCAAACTGGACGCCGCACAAGCTTGGCCCGTCCCCAGGCTAACAAAAGCGATCCAAAGAAGAATCTACTGTAGGCGAATCTGGCACTAAAGTGAGTCATTCCGGAGGCTGCTAAAGTGAGAATCTCGTCGAACCTGCAGTATTAATTAGCAAGCAGGAGGGCCCGGCACTTTCTCTGGCAAATGCTCGTGCGATGTGGGAGATTCGGCACCCACCACTGCGGATGCTGCGCTTACAACTTCTAGAAGAATCTAGATTATTGGGAGTCCTTGAAATATTAGAAGGGGTGTAAGGTTAAGGGTTTGGAGTTTAAAAAAAAAAAAAAAAAAAAACAAAAACAAAAACAAACACATAATTGTTTACAAGCAATGAGATACCATTAAAATGATCTAATGCAAGAAATTACTTGGATTTTTTGTTCATTGAGTACAAGTTGGGTGTCTATTCTACCACAACCTACCTCACTCCACATTCCACATTGTCAATGCCCTTCATCTCCACACTTTTCACAAATATTAATAATAATAATATATATGTGTGTATATATTTTCAATTATAATTATTAATTTTAGAAATAAGATAACATCAAATTTAAATGATTAATCATGTTTGATATAGTTTAAATTATGTTTAAATAATTTTAAAGTGAAGAGTTTAGACATAAGTGAGGAAATGTCTAAATTTATTTAAGGATAGTTCTATGAAGTCCATTTTTAAAATTATTATTATAATATTTTAAAATCTTAACAAAATTACTTATTTAATCTAAATGTATCATTTATATATTATTTACCATTGTATTTCAACTTCTAGTTTGTCTTGAATATTTTTGAATTTAATTTTTTTAATTATTATTTTAAAAAATTGTTTAAGCTTATAGATCAATTTTAGATTTATTTGAAATCATAAAATTCTATTATTACATTGTAATTTTTTTCATTTCAAATATCATTTCAATTTTTTTTATATCAAAATGGTATTTTTAATTTTGACTTGTTTCTTTATGTAATATTTAAAATCATAATTATTTACCACAATATTTATAAAATAAATTTAAGATATAATATTAGAAGGAATCTATAAGTAAAAAAATTTAAGTTACTTTCTAAAAAATCATAATTTAAAAAAAAATATATTCAAAGATCTAATTTAAAAGAATATCCTTATAAACTTTAAATATTTGCTTCTATCATATTACAAAATATATAAGATTTTTTCATTTTTTTGCTTCTAAAATATAAAATTTTAAGATTATTTATTAGTAGATATTATATTAGCATTATTTTTTAATAAATTCTAGTAATACCAAGTTATTAAGACTTAATTATTGCATTTATTAAATCCATCATAGGAACTGGAATTAATTGTAGAAATAGAAAAAAGTCCCAATACAAATATATATTCATTCAATCTTGATGTATACTATTTTGAAATTCAAAATTATTTTAATAATAAATTATATATTATTATAAAGATACAAAAGAAGAAATTTATATATATATATATATATATATATATATAATCTTTTATAATAAAATTATATTTTTTTGTCAAATAAATTAAGATAATTATAAATATTTAATTTTTTCAAAAGATCACAAGATATTTTAGTATATCTTTTTAATTTTTTTTGTCTCTTAATTTTTTTATAAATTATATTAAAAAAGTAATGTTTAGTAATTATCTAATAAAAAATAACATATACAATCTTTGTATAAACTACAAGCAAATAGGCCATAAGAAATCGAACTATCATGATCAACTAGTCTTACAATTAAAACATAGATAAGTATCAAGGTGTCATGGACATACATATTTATTCTAATATATATCTATATAATTGAATAAAAATAAAACAAAGTAGATTTATTTCATAATATTTTCTAAAAAAACTTTGTAAAAGCTTTGTAGATGTTGTTTTGACTTTACATGTATTTGTATTTGATTAGTAGATTAGAAACTTGATCAATAAGTTAACCATGTATTGATAGCTTGTGAAACAAGCTAATTATGTGGTGCACATATAGAAAACTTGCCTTGCAAGTTATGATATGTATCTTGCAAAGTTAACACGTGTTGGACGTCTTTGTCATAGGTATTCAACTGAAGAAGATTTGAAAAGGCTCTAAGAAGTTCTAAAAGGTTCCAATAGGTTCTAAGAAGGTTCCAAAAGGTTCCAATAGATTTTAAGAAAATTCTAGAAGGTCATAGGAGATCCTAGAAGATTCTAGAAGGCTTTAAATGATTTAGGAAGTTGCTGAAGAAGGATCTTAGGCTTGCTTTGTTCTCCAAGCCTCATCAAAATTTCTCAAGAAGCTTTCTAGGACCTAGTATATATAGGAGTCAAGGTTTAGGGGATTTTCAATCTCAACAACTCACTTCTTGTGGTATAGCCAAGATCTTCTTGCCTTGTATCTAATTATTGTTCTAATATTAAGCTAATTCCATTTTTAAGTCTTGAATCCTTGTCTTGTATATAGCCCCTAATAGTTTGTCCAAACTACCATAAAATAATATTAGAAGTTTGTTCTTTCTTAACAGAGAATGGATTATCCATCTTCTTGGAAGTATTATAGTATTCTAAAAGTTGCAGATTACCCTCTCCTAGTCTAATATTGTTCTTTTCTTAATATTCTTTTGTTTTTGTTTTGTTTTGTTTTGTTTTGTTTTGTTTTTTTTTTTTCCTTATATCATAGATCAATTTTTTTTTGTTTGAATGCGTATGTTTCTTTGATTTTTTATAGTGAAGGTAGAAAAGTTAATATGATAGACTCTAAAGAGATTAAATTAGATTCTATTATTTGAAAAGAATTCTTTTATATTATACAATCTTGAAGCATTGAAGATTAGGACAGATACTTTCTCGAAGCAGAATAAAGAATTATATATGTCCATATATAATGGTTTAAGAGTCGGAGTGTCTCAACTACCACATCAAATGACAATAGAGGTTCCAAATTCTCAAACGATTATATCTACTTCAAACATGGAAAGTGCATCTACTCAAGGCAATGATATGGCAACAATAACAACAAAAGAAGCAAGGATCAGCCTTCCAAAAAAGTTTGATGGCACCTGCTCAAAATTTTGTGGCTTTGTAAACTAAGTACGACTAATTACCTTGCTTCAATCTCAATGATATTCTATTGAAGCATCTTGTGTTGGTTTGGTTGGAATCTTGCTCTCAGGTCAAGTTTTATCTTTGTTCGATCTATTATTTGAAAAGAATTTTCTTATATTGTATAATTTTGAAGCATTTTTAATAGCATTTGCAGAAGCATTTCATAAACATAATAAGGTTTGTTCTTCAAAAACTAAAATTTGAAGCCTTTGACAAAAAATGTGCTCTATATCAACGTATGCCTCAGATTTTTGACAATTAGCATGTGATATAAATTAGAGAGAAGATGTGTTGATGAGCCAATCTCATTGGAGATTAAGAGACAATATCAAAGACTTATTGTTGTCCATGAAAAATCCTTAAATACTCAATGAAGCCATTAGTCAAGCTAAAAAGTATCATAATTGTTTATTTCAATGATGATAAGATAAATATTCTTTAATTATGCCACATGTATATATCAATTATTCTGCAACTTCTTCACCATCTAATTCTAATGAGCATTTGGAAGTAGAAGATATATAGATTGATGCAATTTGCTTCAAACTTTTTTCTGAGCAAGAAAAAAAGCATCAAAGAGAACTTGGCCTATGCTTATATTATAAAAAATCTAACTATAATATTAATAATTGTTCATAGAAACACCAATGTATATATCAAATGAGGAGTGCGGCCACATCATCAAAAGCATGGTAGGAAAACAAAGGTGTTCAGCCATAGTAAGGACTATATGGCTAGATTCTTAATTATCACAAATCAAAAAAAATCGTGTACTTTCTACTAGCCCTTCTCATTGTTTTATTATAATTGTATAGATAAGAGTCACAAAACTAGAATGTCATGAATTAATTGACTGATGAGCCTATACATGTTTTATTGATGAAGAATTTTTTAGATCATATAAAATCTATACAGTCAAAAAATCCAAAGCCGTTCATATAGAAGTAATAGATGGTCGACCTTAATCCTCTGGAGATGTCACTTATGAAACGATTTTATTAGAAATAACCTTTAATAATCATAGCAAGCAAGTAATATTCAACATCATTAGATGACCATCAAGTCTAATCATTTTAGAACTCTAATGGCTTAAAAAATATAATCTACGAATAGATTGGATATCTTGAAAGTTAGAATTTCTTCAAATAGATCATAGAACCCTCATATCTATGAAAAAGCTTCTAACACCTAACAAGCCAAAATTTAAACAACATTTATTTATTGGAGCTAGAGCATTTGTGAGGGCGACCAAACAAGGCACTATATTTGTTGTCTAAAATCCACAATTGGAACTTGTGGTTGCTATAACAATAATTTCAGAGGCATATAAGGATTTTTTAGATATATTTGAAAAGAAAAATATAAACATCCTTTCAATAAATTGTCATTACAATTGTACAATTGACCTTCTTGAAGGTATTCAATCACTGTTTAGATCCATATACAATTTATTTCAAAATGAGCTTATGACTTTAAAGGAGTATATTAAGGAAAATTTAATGAATGAAATATTTTACGAGCGTCTTGACGATTTTTTTGTGATCTATTTGGATGATATTCTAATCTTTTCTAAGAATTTGGAAGACCACAAAAAATATGTTCCTCTTGTTTTAGAAAAGCTGCAAAGTGCTGGACTATATGCAAAATTAGAGAAGTATATTTTATGCACCTTAAGTCGAATTTGTTGGATATATTATTTCTAACAAAGTCCTTTTTATGCATCCAAAGAAGGTACAAGCAATCATCGATTGGGCAAAACCAAAAACTAAACGTGATGTCTAATACTTTCTTGGATTTGTAAACTTCTACATGATTTTTGTTAGGAATTACTCTAAGATCAATGCTCTACTTACATGGTTGACATGCGAGGACAAGCTAAATTGAGGCTTCAAAGCAGAGAAAGCTTTTCAAAGCTTAAAAGATGCTTTCACAACATCTCCAATTTTGATACATCTAGATTTGAA